ATGCGTTACAGTCACCTTAAAATTGTCCAAAACGCTTTCTCTGACACAAAAAAATAAACTCATTTGCATCCGCATTCGGTCAAACCAATGTTTGAACTCAGACTGATATCACTAGTCCACACATCGTTACTACTTCCGGCGGCATGAGAAGAGGACAAGACATCCCTTGCTAATTTCACGCCCGACATCCTTTAGAAAGTCACTACATTCCCTTCTTAAGCTATTTTAGCAGCACGCCTCACAGTGATTCTTTCAGGTCGGAACAATCGGGGTCCTGAAGCATATTTGGCATCTACAAGCTCGTAAAAAAGCAACCCTCTTCACCGTTTGTTTCCAACAGGCGATGCGGGGTCGCCGAGGGTCATTCGATGGCCTGCCATGTTCCGGACATGGGATGACGTTGCCACTAGGGATGACGTTGCACTAGGGATGACGTGCACTAGGGATGACGTTGTACTAGGGATGACGTTGCACTAGGGATGACGTTGCACTAGGGATGACGTTGCACTAGGGATGACGTTGCACTACCTTCGTGCGTCACGACGGGACCGGTACATTGCGAAATGTCTGTTCACACTACCTTGGACTCTTCAGAAGATTAGGCCTGCTATGACCTTTACGGGAGATGACCTTCACACCGCGGCTAAGACGCTCAGTAAAGTTTGGCTCATTTTACGATGGGCTTGAGGGCCCGGTTGATGTTCTTTTCTTCTGATTTGATGTGGGCTTGACCTTCGACGGACAGTGCTGATAGCAAAGTTCACTAGCTTCAATGGCGGGTGAGGTATGAGTCACTTCACATTTTCAGGACTAATGGACAAGGCCATGCGCACCACGAGCTGAGAATGTGGCGCCGAACGCAGACACCTAGCATTTCCCCGCGGCGGCGAAAATAGTCCAAATTACGTTACACTACACCGAACGATTTGGGAGATACACCCGAAAAGCCCGAGAGCATTACACAACCCAGTGCGGGTGAGGGCTTATGCTGGCGGAATATTAATTCGCCATTCGAAGTAAATATTTACTAGCTATCCCTAAAAATTAATTCGCCGTTCGAAGTAAATTAGTGACTTGCTATCCCTAAAATGGCCCGTCGTATTTTGAGCGGTGTTAAAAGCAAGGTTACTAAGGGTCACATTCTATCGCGAATGGCCCATAAACCAAAGCCGGACTATCTGGTGGGGCTATTTCAACGCCGCGCTGTACAGGAACAGGCTTAAGAGACTGGGTCATCTGAGACATATTGTTCGGTTGCGCAGATAGAAGATGGTGGCGCACTTTCCCCTATTCACGCAGGGTTTTTCTTTCGCCAGCCGCTTGTTTTTATGAAGCAGCATTGCTGCAAAACTTGGCTTTAGCGTGGATTCTAAGGCAGGCTGCTAATACCAGGTAGTAGATTAACTGATACACCCGAAGCAACGGTGCGGATGTGCAAATGATAACGTTGCTCTGGTTAGTTGTAGTTGAAAGCACGTTTTTATCCCAACGTTTACCTTGCTCCAGAGGAACGCGTTACAACTTGTACGAACGGCCCACGCCACTTAACTGGCCTAAGAAGCCCCCGGCGAACGTTCCCGTTTCAAGGTCCAGCGAGCCGTGCCGAGCAAGGGCGACTCCCACTCACACCGCAACCCCACAAGACCAACCTTGACCTCGGAGCACCGGCCGACCGCTGCACCGCAGCGGCTATTGAACAGAGCGCCATCGATCACCGCTCTCTGCCTCTCAATACGGCTCTAGTGTGGCGCTGAGCTGGAGCGCGCTCCAACCCCGACACAAGAATGCTCTTCGTCATCCTCACACAAAGGTATTTCAGGGAAAGCCGGCGAATCAGCCGCTGGAGAGTGATCGAGATTCAAAGCCGGTAAATCCGCGTGCAGCGGTCTACCGCTGTGGTCTCCGTCAGTTGTCGCTGTAAGCCGGGGTGGTGAGCAGCTACGCTCCACTCGAAACTGTCCGACGCCGCGCGAATTGAGCGTGTAAACTGGGCTCCCTGTAACAGCATGTCGACCGCACTATACGCAGCCGTGAGGTCGTTCCCCTGCGCTCGCGGTTCGCAGGAGAAGGGCCGTGCCTTAAGCTGGACCTGAGCACGGCTAAATCGGAGGTTGTACAGCGGAAGAGCTTCCACCAAAACGAAAAGATCAGTACGTCAGGTCTGGCTCGTTGCCAGGAAATCGAAAATTAGGGAGCGTAGTCTTCGATGGCCGCGCGTTTCACAACGCACGTCACTTGTAAACGTACTTTGTTTTTTCACTGCAGACACAAGGAGCATCCCACGTGCCATGGCTTCCCGTACCTGGGCCACTGTCTAGGCTGCTTCTCGGGCGCTCTGTATGTGTGCCTGGCCCCAGGCTGTTAGGACTGACACGCATCAGCTGCCATCAAATTAACAAATGGCTGCATTCTTGGACTGTTTACTGCAACAAGCTTATCATGCCTTTAAATGAAGAGCGTTCGCTATTTCCATGAAAGCATACGGTCTGAAGCATGGAAATGGCTGACTGACACGCACACAAGCGTGGAAGTCGGAGTGCCCGAAAATTTGCAGAAATCGCCCTTAAGGCAACAAGCACGGCCATCTGGGTCATCTGTTACATATTTCATCTCTTCTTTGGTATGAGGCGATGTTTTAACACTGAACACGGAACTAAAACGTAGTGACAACATTCATGACATTATTTCTCCTCGCAGCGTTATTAGAAATCAGCTATGAGCCTGTTTATATACCTATGTAGATGCCCATATCGCCTATGAGCTGATACTTCATAACGCATAAGCTACTCAATACATTAAGTAGCTCTGACATCGCTGCAAACCATTTGGAACTTGTCCGATTGCTTATAATCGATTTTTCCTGTCACGCGCGGATCCCCTGCACTTTCCTTTAAACACATTCACACGCACTGTGACCACACTCAACACAAACGTCGTCGACACGACCAGAAGCTTGGTAATCTACGGAACGCAGAACATCGCACGTCCCTTCCAATCGTGTTTTTCCAGTCAATGCATGTGCCGTCGGTACTCAGGAGCACATGGATAAATCCCCATCCCCAAACCGATAACGAATCCCCAAAACGATAACGAGGCCGGGCAGCCACTGTGGGCGTTGTGAAATACGAACCAACGCCCATGCGTCCGGATCATTTAACTTGGGCTCCGCCTTTGGGTGCAACCGTCCGCTGCGGACCGGTGGTGTCGCCCACAAACGATGGCCAATCACCGCCGAGTCCGAGTCACATGTCCGCCGTGGCGGGCCCCGCGCCCAGCCGTGCGGGTCCGTGGTGAGATGGGTGGCTTGAATGCGCGATCGTCCGTGCACACCCATCGGCCGCCCAGCCCGCGGCGAGTGTCTGTCACGGCCCTCCCCGAGCCGAACATCACCGCCACGACCCGAGTGACGTCACTGGGAGCGTCAGCGCCGTTCTCCCACCGCGGGCACCTGCTGCGAGCCGTGCCCGATGCCGGAGGAGCCGCGGGCATGAGCCCCGCCCCATCGCGGTGCCGGCCGCGTAGGCAGACCCGCTGCGATGCAAAGCCGCCGAGTCGGCCGCCCCCGACAGCCCGTTAAAACAGGCGATAAAGCGCCGCCTGCCCGACAGCGGACGTGTATTGCAGCGAGCGCGGACAAGCGGCAGCGGCAGCGGCAGCGGCGGGGCGGCCACACGCAGCCGGGACGGACCGCAGCGGCAGAGATCAGGGGCGCGCGGGCCAGCGGGGCGCTGCACCCGGCCGCGGCGAAAGCGCAGAGCTCACATCACAGTGGCATGACTAGAAGGGCAGCAGGGCGCCCCAGCATTGAACAAATCACCTCACCTGACAGCAGCACAACAACGCCGGCAGACCCCCGCCGAGCCGGCGCCAGACAGCGTCACAGCGCCGGCCACACGTGCAGCACGCCGGCACGCGTGGCGACGGAGCCGCCGGCCGGACAGACAGGTCACGCTAGGGGCAGGCGGCCGGGGTGCCGGCCCGGCCAGCTGACGGCAGGCGCAGCCGGAGCCGCCGCGGCCGCGCGAACCGTCGCGGCTCAGCCGACGGCAGGGTCAACAGGCAACACGTATACACGGAGCACGCGGAACGGGCCGTACCCAGGCGGCACGGCTCGGGGTCGGGGCGAGACCGGCGGGACGGGCCGTACCCAGGCGGTACAGGTCGGGACCAAGCCGGCTAATAGGAAACACTCATTCGCAGCTGTGTGGTACAGATCACATCCTACTGGCCAGACGGAGACAAACTTGCTGAAATGGTTAACTAGGAGTGCATGTTCCACAAACCCGACCGAAGCGCAGATGACACAGAACATCGGATGCAACGAGATGAGTGGAGAACACGAGCAGCACACAGCTCGATGGAGCCACCACGAACGGCAAAAGCCGCGCCCAAAACAATACACAACAAACTGACGGCAGCAGCTGCCATATTTAATGACCAAAACGAGTCGTTTTGAGACTATTGACCCGAATGACCGCGACAAACGCAGCACACCACAAATCGGGGACCGCCGAGAAGGCCGGGGCTCAGACATCAACCGCAGGGCGGGCCGAACCTCGGCGGTTCACACCGGCCCTGACCGGGCCAAATATCGCCGTCCTGTCGCTCCGGGGGCAGGATCAATGTCAGCGCTGCCAGAGGGCTGACGGGCCGCGCCAGTGGCGGGCCAGGGACGCCACGCCAGCGCCAGCGCCGTGCGGGGGTGTCCAACCGGCGCTGCCGCACTGCGGACACGCGAGGCCGGTGCCGGTGCAATGCGGGGTTATCGGCCGTTGCCATGCACGGGGTGGCCGGCCAGGGCTGGCGCGGTACAGGGGTGTCCGACCCGTGCCGGCGCTGATGCGCTGCCAGGGGTGGCCGACCGGCGCCGTGGCAGCGGCCACGAGGGCGCCACACCGCCGCCGGCGGCGCCAGGGCTGGGCGGCGCCGCTGCGCTCAGGTGGTCGCCGAGTGGAGCCGCGGCCGGCGCGCGCCGCCCCGCGGCTCGCTGCTGGCCGAATCTGGCGCCTCCCGCAGCGCCACGTTCTTCTCCAGCCAGTTGGCCACCTGGACGACACACCGCCACGGCGCAACGGTCAGCTCTCGGTGAAACCAGACAGCTCACGGCAACACAGACCTGCCCCTGTAGCGCCGGCGCTGCTGCTAAAGGTCCAAGTCCAGCAGACCGGGAGTCGGGTCACGTGGAGACGGACAACAGGCAACCGGGCGCCTTATCAGACGTTTACGTTAAGACCACCGGCGGTAAGCGAGTTGAAGGCACTGTCGGTAACCTCCTACATGTGGAACTCCATAAAGTAAGCGGGTATTTACCGTGCCTATTTTTGGCGGAGACAGCAGCCAAACGTAGTTTGCATAGAGTTCTAATTGCCGTCGTGCCGGGAAATTGTCGGTGTAACGACATAAAACACCGCACACAACGCACACTTAAGTTTACACAGCACGAACGACCCACTCCGTGAGCATTTCAGCTTCGCCAACTACCAACCAAAGGGCAACATGGAAAACCCAGCTGAAATAAGCGCTGCAACAAATGAGCCACTGAGAACATTGTCAGAACGAGCTGTATTAGACTTCCTTTGTGGGCATCTTTCGGCGCTCTCCTTCTCCCGGGAGGCAGCGCCGAGTCCATCGTCACTAACAGCCGGCCATTGAAACCGAAACGTCCGTTTAAACACGCCCGCCGCGCCAAGGACCGGCGGTCCTTTGTGCCGCCGGGGAGCAGGGAGGGGGGGGGGGGGGGGAGCGGGGGCTGTGACCTAACCTCGCGCGTGCTCTGCACCAGGTCGTCGACAGACGGCAGCTCGGGCAGCGGCTCCATCCTGTTGTTGGGCAGCGAGCCGTTCCTGCGGCCCAGCTCGTAGGCGCCTGACGGACACGGGCGAGTCGTCAGCGGCCCGTCACGTGCCGCGTCAGCGTGCAGACCCACCGCTCACGCACCCCGCACATTCACGCTAATCAGCAGGCGCGCGGGAGCGGACAGCGCGAGTCTGCAAAAACGGAGACGCTCAGCGGCCGCGGTTTGTTCGATACGACGCGGCAACAGTGTGCGATGCTGAGCAGCAGAACTTATATCGATGTGCCGAACGACACGACACCCCTCGCCAAAGCGGCAGCGCTGCGGGCTGGGCCGCCATGCTATCACGGCTGGCAGAGCCGCTGATGCCATTGGCCCCCACACGCGTCACATACGTAACCTAGCTGCCCGCGGGCCGAGGGCGTACAGGCAGGCACCCCTGGTGATGGCTCAAAGCGAGCTCCGGCTTCGATGCGGGCTCACGGTGAGCCGACGCCGGGTCTTGCCCGGGCGCCAGCCGGGTCCGAGCTCCAGACAGCGCCGGAGCCGCACACCCGCGCACCAACACCCCGTCCAACCGCGCCGCTCTGGGGCGCGCGCGCGCGGAGCGTCCACTCACGAAGCCGGTCGGGCTCAGGCGAGGGCAGCGCGAAGCCGAGCCGCGGCGCCTCGCCGTTGCCCGGCGGCTCGGGCCGCGCCGGGCGGTGCGGCGCGGCGCGCGGCGAGCGCGCGTCGCACGAGCTCAGCGAGGAGGTGATGCTCGGCAGGCGGATGTCGAGCGCCGAGCCGCGCCCCGTCACCACCTGAGGACAAGGCAACCGTCAGCAGACCTTCAGCGGACCGTCAGCAGACCGTCAGCTGATCATCAGCGTACCGTCCGCGGACCGTCAGCGGACCGGCGGCCGCCCGGCTGACGACGCGAGGCGACCAGGCGCGCGCCGCTGCGAGCCGGACTCGGTCGCTCGCTTGCCGCTTTTCACGACGGCAACAATTTACGGCGAGACGTGCGACGAGCGGGAGCAAGTGCACGTTTCGCATGTTCGCGAACGCTGCGGTGCCGCCGCGGGCACATACCCCGACGCCTCCGCACGACGAGCTCAGCCGCGCGGGCGGGCGATTCGGACGACCACAGCCGGGCCACCAACGAGCCGGAAATCAGCGTGACGGCGCACCGTTACCGACAGCAGCCATTCTCACAGATAATAGCCCGCCTGACCTTTGGCTGAATGCGGGCCGTCGCTTTAAGAACGGCGCTAGCATAACGGCCGGGCAGGCTGGCACAGTGACCGAACAGGCGAGGAGCGGGACGGCGTGACGCAGCGATCGAGCGGAGTGGCCGCCCGGCGCAGCAGCCCGGCGGAGGTACGGGCGACACCGCGACCGGTGAGAAGGCCTGGCGCAGTAGCTGACGGTCATCAGCGCCAGCGACCAGGGGCAATGCCGCAACCACCGGCCTCAATCCTCAACCTTAGCCCATACCAGCGCACCGCCGAGACCTGGCAGGATCAGCTGGGCAGCGAGTAGTGCCTCACCTTGTGATTCATGCAGTAGAGCTTGGTGGTGATATCACGGGCGATCATGGTCGAGAGGACGGTGGCCAGGTAGGGCTCCTTCACGAACAGGTACTCGATGGCCGAGCGGTGCCAAAAGATGTAGCGGCACTGACTGGCAGCGATGATGGCCACCTGAGACAGACGCGGCTCGGCTCAGACAGCGCCCCCGGCTGCCGCCCGACGGTCGCGGTACGCCAATGGAACAGACCGGCGTCAGCCTTTGGCTGAATTCTCTGTCACAGATGACCGGCCCTCCACTCGCGCCGGCGCGCCTCAGCGCTAATGTAGCAGTGCGTCCTAAGAAAGGCGCATCGCGTCACGCGTCGTATTCCTTTTAGGAAGGAGGCACTTGACTTACACGACTTCCCTTTACAAGACAGACTTCTTCAATACACACGCAGGCGGCTTACATGACACGTTGTGACCTCTCAGATGCGCCTCCTTGATGTTCTTTCGACCTTCGATGTCTTTCCACTCATCAAGGCACCTTAAACAGGCCACGCAACATGCGGCATTCACATCACTCACTACCGACCTATCTCGCGGCCCGCCTACCACGCACCTTAAACTTCTCCTCGGCGGTGGCCTTGGTCGACTCAAACTCGGGGCTATCGAGGAACTGGTTGGACCCGATGCTGTGCAGGAAGCTGTTGTCGGCGAGCACGTTGCACTTGCCGGCCAGCAGCACGCCCAGTCGGTCGGTGCGCGTCAGGTTCTGCAGGGCGTACGCCTCGCCCGCGTGCAGCGTCACCAGCTGGGCGTGCTCCGGACTCACCAGCTTACGGAACAGCAGGCGCGGGCACCTGAGGGCCGCAGCGGCGTCACACGCGTCTGAGACTGAGGCCAGGCGCCTCAGCGACCACACGCGTCTGAGACTGGGGTCCAGGTGCCTCAGCGATCACACACAGCGGAGACTGATGCCAGGCGCCTCAGCGACCACACGCAGTCTGAGACTGAGGCCAGGCGCCTCAGCGACCACACGCGTCTGAGACTGAGGCCAGGCGCCTCAGCGATCACACACAGCGGAGACTGAGGCCAGGCGCCTCAGCGACCACACAAAGCGGAGACTGAGGTCAGGCGCCTCAGCGACCACACGCGACTGAGACTGAGGCCAGGCGCCTCAGCGACCACACACAGCGGATACTGAGGCCAGGCGCCTCAGCGATCACACGAGGCCGAGACTGCTCCCGGCGCCTCAGCGACCACACACAGCGGAGACTGAGGCCAGGCGCCTTAGCGACCACACGCGTCTGAGACTGATGCCAGGCGCCTCAGAGACCACACGCGACTGACAATGGGCTAGAAGCCTACAGTGACCATCCAAGACTGGGAATAAGGTCAGGAGTCTCAGTGACCACACCCGGCTGGCACCGCATCAAGCATCTCAGTGACCACACGAGACTGACACTGGGCCAAGAGCCTCAGTGACCACACGCGTCTGAGACCAGACCAGGCTCCACGGCGGCCTCACGCGTCTGAGACTGAGACCATACGCCACAGTCGGCACAAACATGTAAGACTGGGACCACACACCACACCGGCCGCACGCGACTGGGGCAGCGAGCGCAGTCGGAGACACGCACTCGCACCACGAAGTGTGAGGGCAGTGGCAGTGCGGACACGGCGAGGAGTCGAGATAGTGATCAGAGCGATCGCCAAGGAAACCCGACACAAGCCGAGGCCGCGCACGGCACGACGGGGGCGCCCGAGCCAGAGGGACCCTCGCGACGCACCCGCAGCGGCTCGAACAGCGTCTTGTAGAGCTCCTCCAGCTCCTGGTCGAACTTGACCGGGCGCATCTGGTAGATGATGTGCAGCACCTGGCCCATGTTCAGCAGCACGAACAGGAAGTTCCAGGTGAAGATGTCCGGCGCGCAGATGACGTTCCAGCCCCACATCGAGTACAGGAAGAAGCCTGGCGACAAGCGGCCGGCCGCGTTAGGCGGTCGGGAGCTCAGGCCAGCCCAGCCTGTCAGCCAGCCGCCAGCCTTCAATGCACGCTGTAGGGCTTTCCGCTCGAGTCGCACGCCTGATAGGACCAACTATGGATCGTTCAAACGCAACGGTTCAGCCTCGTATCCAGGATACCTGGGGGAGCAAAAACAATGCCCGAAAAGTTGAAACTTAAAGAAGCCTATAGATTTGCGTCAGCAGTGCGTAGCGAGATTTTATTTGAGCCGCAGTGTCGTGTATAGTATAACGACGTTGGGAAGTCCTAGCACCTGAGTAGGCGGGAAGGGGGGGGGGGGGAGCTGATAACGCAACTGGGAACCCGTTCCTCTGCAGGAAGGTCCGGCTAGGCGAAGGCTCGGGTCAGCTTTTAGCCATAGGTAACATTTACTCCGGTACTAAGCTGGATGCACTGATGCAACATTATTTCTGCAACAATGTATGGACATCGGCTATCATGTATGACACAAGGGCAGCACTGCTACATGTGGGTGGAGCCGCTGGAACGTAATCCATACAGTCCTGCGTGGCATGAGTGTGGAAAATAACACTGAATATGTAATGATTCGCCTACCCAGCAAACCACAGAGCGTCCTTGGATCATCATACACACTTCACAAATAGCATGACCGCCGTTCAATTGCACCGCATACCCATCGGATATACTCGGCGCACATCATACAACACATGTTACTGACGCGCACGCGCGTTACATACGCAAAAATAGACCCCCCCCTAAAAAAAACAACAGTAGGAGGGGCTAGTGGCTACACCGGTTCCTAGCGGAAGGATCTTACACACAGCGTGGACACCTTGGGTGGTGTGGGGGACGTTGACAATGACAGAGCATGCGAATTCGATACGACCGCGTTCCAGAGAGCTGACAGAGGGTGACACTGAAAACACTACGACAGAAGGTGGCACTGACAAACCCTCCGGCAGAGTGTGACACGTGTGGCGCTGATAAACCGTCCAGGAGTGTGGCACTGACAAACTCTCCGACACAGGGTGGCACTGACAAACCCTCAACAGAGGGTGGCACTGACAAACCTTCCAACAGAGGGTTGCAGTGACAAACACCCCGACAGGGGGTGACACCGACAAACCTCCAACAGAGGGTGGCACTCACAAGCCTTCCAACAGAGGGTGGCAGTGAAAAACCCTCCAACAGGGGGTGGCACTGACAAACCATCCAACAGAGGGTGGCACTGACAACCTTCCAACAGAGGGTGGCAGTGACAAAACACTCCGACAGGCGGTGACACCGACAAACCCTCGAACAGAGGGTGGCACTCACAAACCTTCCAACAGAGGGTGGCAGTGAAAAAACCCTCCAACCGGGCGGGGGGGGGGGGGGGCACTGACAAACACTCCAACAGAGGGTGGCACTCACAAAGCTTCCAACAGAGGGCGGAAGTGAAAACCCTCCAACAGGGGGTGGCATTGCAACGCCCTCCAACAGAGGGTGGCACTGACAAACCCGCCGCAGACGTCAGGCGACGTCCGCGGCGATATATATCGCATGCGTCGTTTACGTCCCCGTCGGCTATGATGTATGGCCGGGTTATATATTGCATACGTCGTTGGGAAGTCCTAGCACCTGAGGAGGCGGAAGGGGAGGAGGGGGGGGGGGTTGATTGCCAAACCCTCCATTAGAGGATGGCACTGACAAACCCTCCAACAGGGGGTTTGTACTGACACATCCTCCAACAGCGCGTGGTGCTGACAAACCCGCCGCAGATGTCGGGCGACGTCCAACCCCGGCCGGGGGGCCGCTCCCTGCTTTGCATCTCCCAGAGCGAGACAGACGCCCAAGATCACGGCACAGCGCCGTGGGTCCGTAACCCTTTTAAGGCGTCGCGTTTCTCGCACAACAGGGCGGAATCCTACCACATCGGACGTCCACAGCGTGGCTTTGCACGGCGCCCGGCAATGTTGGCCCTGTCTGGTTGCTAGACTCAGGCTGATCAGTTTCGTAGTTGGGCAGACTGTGACGTCACGTCGGGGGAGACGCTCACGCAGCGTGCTGTCGTCAGCGAGCCCGCGTGGTCCCAACGCCACGCGAGCGAACAATGAATGAGGCTGGGTTTACAAAGTCTTCTTGATCTGGAGGCTGAGCTGACCAGCGTGCGCGTGGCGTGCTCCTGAGGCGCGAAGGCCATCCAGAGGCCAGCTG